GGCCCAATGTAAGACAACAGCGACTAATAATCAAAGCCTAAAAATAGAACAAGCCGACTTATAAAAGAAGAAGAGCCCAGTCCCGGGAAGTGCTGTATGTAGCAGTCTGGATAACCTGTGTGATGTCCTGTAGAGGAGGCCGTCATACTGAGTGCTTCCTACATGCCAGGCACCATGATACTGGGATAACTTTCAAAAATGAACTCATTTAATCGCCGCAACCCCTCATGGAGGTTGCTATTATTACCATCTCCATTTACAGATGAGAAAACTGAGAGGCACAGGGTAGGTAAGTAACTATCCAAGATGACATAGCTCGTAAGTGGCAGAGCCAGGATTCAACCTCAGGCAGTTTGATCCAAGCTCACATCCCTTGCCACTAAACTCTGCTACTTCTGCACGTATTTATTTTTAAAATATGAGAATCATTCATAAAGCAGTATTGTTATAACTATTTCTCTCTAATCTGGGTCAGGGATTTTCACGCAGTGATTTTCAATTGTGGGGGTCAGAAGGACCCAAGAAAATGGCACTCGAGCCAGAAAGCCATCCCCTTTGCAAACAGAACAGCTCCATTTTACACATTAAAGTTCCACCTAAGATTTCAATTGGGGAAAAGGTAAAGGGTGAAATCCATTGATCCAAATATGTTGTAACTATATTCCCAAAATTCTAATTTGCTGAGCCTTCTGTCTCTCTTAAAACTCTTCCTTAATAGAGGTCCCGACCACAAATTCATACTTAATTTTTTTCAGAGCTTACAACAATTAAACAGATTTTTTTTTTCCCCCTAAGGAGTTCATTTTCTGTCCTCTCGCCAGGATAACCGTTATGTCTACCTAACTAGCATCTCTGATCCTCCTGCCCCCAGCCCTTTTCTACCATTGGGTTCTTTTCCTAAAACGTAAGGTGATCATGTCACACTCCGCCTTGAAATCCTTGGATGGCTTTCCATCTCAAAGCAGTGTTTTTTTATTCCCCAAACCATTCCAAGAGTATTTAGTAGACGATTAAAATAATTGTGAAACACTTGAGTTCAACACTTTTTTTTTTTTTAATCTATAGAGCTTACGAGAGTGTTTGCCAAAGCATTGACCACAGCCCCGTTTCTGCCACTACACATCCCTGGGAATTAGAACATTGGAGTCAGCCTGCCTGGGTTTCAGCCAGCCCAGGGGTGGCAGGCAGGTCACCCTGTACTGCAGTCCCACGTCCATAAAATGAGAAGGGTGAGAGGAGCCATCTTACAGACTTGTTATGAGAATGAAAAGTGTTGATAGAGGGAAGGTGCTCAGCACAATAGGCAGTACCTCAGAAGGTGGCGGTTATTTTAATTATTTTTGTGACACACCTTAGAAACAATGTCCTGCAGGATCTAGTTAAAACTTCCTAGCCAGAGACAAAGCAGACTCACGCCAGCCCTTCCACACTCCTGCCTTCCTCGCCATGACCCCTCCAGACACACACATCAGTGCAAACCGACCTCTGCCCTTCCCTGAAAACTCCATGTGCTTTCCTGTTTCTGTACCTCTGGCACGGGCTGTTCCCTTTGCTGTGCTGCTTGTTTGTCCTAGTCTCTAAACTCGAGGGTTTCTGGGAGCAGGAGCCCTATTATATTCAGCTTCCCGGAGCTTGACTGTATTTGCTGACTGTGTAAACCAGGCCTGGGCCCTCTAGATGCCATTGGAAATGGCATCACATCAATGCATTCCAAACCAGGTGTAACCCTCAAAGTTTACCACATGGATACATGTCATATACATTTGTCAAAACCCCAGGCTGTACCACACCAAGGGTGAACCCTAATGTAAACTATGGACTTTGGGTGATAATGACATGTTAATGCGGGTTCATCGATTGTAACAAATGTTCCCCTCTGGTGCAGGATGTGGATAGTGGGGGCGGGTACGGGAGTGGGTGGGGGTTTCCATTCCATTTTGTTGCTTTAAAAATCAAATTATTTTTAAATCATCTCATAAAGTGAAGTGGCAAAATACAAGTTGTAATTAATGTAGATCAAAGATTCAGTAAAAATTAATTTTCCTTTCCTAATATAAAGCTATTATAAAGTTTAGGATACACCGAAACTACAGAACACTTGTCACGGCAAAGCCCAATATCCACCATAATCTGGTTTCCAAGCCTTCCGAAAGACTCAACATTCTGTTATATTTTAGGTGGATTGCCACTTTCTCCTCCAAAGTACCATCATTTGGAAAATGACCCCAATCCAAAGCCAAGTGTGTAGAGCGGACCCCGTGTTCAACCCCTCCCACTTCTGCTACTGGGCGGAGAACGCATTCCCCCTTCAGGCGTGGAGGCACAAAAGAGCAAAGTATTAGCTTGCTCTATCTGACCCTTTAGTTCAGAAGTAGCTACGGGATTGCTGCACAAAAGACCATGCCTTCAATGTCATCTGTCACAGAACAAAAGCGTACGATTAAAAAGGAAAGTGATTTGCCCTCATGTGGATGCACCCGTTTGGGGCACGTCAAAATAAAGCCAGCACTAAACACAAACCACACCTTGGCATTAGGAGATCAGTCACACTGCAACACACGCCTGACAGCTGAAGCTGGACTTCACTGCTTTATCCTACCTGACAACTCTGTTGTGGGATAATCTAGGGTTGACCTTTGCCCTCTCACTGCCAGAAACAATAGTCTGCTGAGAGTAATTATTACCATTCACATCTCCAGACACGCCTCACCGTGCACCTTACACTGTATGTAGCTCTAACTGGCGATTTGCAGAGGTGGCGTCTCAGCCCCCAAATATCCAGTTCTCCATGCCCAGGATGGCCTTGCGAATCCTTCAAGTCCCTGTTCACAGAGTGAATGCTCTGTTCATCCTTCTCTGGGGTTTCCTCTTCCCTGCCAGGGCTGTGATGTTCAGTGGGGCAGGCCGTGCACTGCACAACTCCAAGGAGAGCCACTGCTACCCGTGCATTGCATCTCAGCGTGGATCACATTCGACTTAACTGTTAATTTAAATGCTGGATTCCCCTACTCGTCTGTGCATATTTTAAAAACAAAACTGTACTTATTTTATCTTCATTTCATCAAGTCCCAAGATTTTCTTTAATAAAAAAGACTCTCAAACTGGAACAATGACATATTGTTAGAGACAGCACTTTGCGTTTTCCATATTGTATCTGTTTTAATATTTACAACAGCCCCATAAGGTAAGTAAGGTGAGTCCCATTATTCCCATGTTACAGGTGTGCAAACTGATGTCCAGGAATGCAGTCACTTCCAACGTTACCTAATTAATAAGTGACAGAACTATAATTTGAACCCAAATCCAAGACGCCAAAGCCTGCCCTTGTAACTGCCCATGTAACCACATGCTACATTGCCTCCCAATGCATGTGACGAATACTTAAATCAGGGCCAGCCGAGTGGCTCAGTTGGTTAAGAGCTCGCTCAAGAGTGCGAGATCTGAGCAACAGCAGTTCGATGCCCGGCCCGAGCTGAGCTGCTGCTAAGCTGCCAACAGGTGGCAGGATGGCTCAGCTTAAAAAAAAAAAATACTTCAATCACTCGAATGTGAGTTACTGGTGATTCTCAAAAGTAAAACTACTTGAGAGCCATGTATTTTTAAATGATCTATAGCTAAAATTTTTACAAGAATTTAGACCAGCCTCCTGCCCAACCAATCTATAGTATGAAGGTTTTCCCTTTATGCCCATGCCCATACCTGTGTTTAGATATGCATGTTCAAATGGGCTACTAATAAGCAAAAAAGAGCCAGCTATCAACCAGCAAGGTCGGAACTCTTCGCATGTTTATTGTATGGTGTCGGCTACCGAGCTATACATGTCTGTTGGGCAGGACAGTCTCCTATGCAGGAAAATAAACTTCAAAGGAAGACCTGATCACTGCAGCCAAAGCATAAACATGAAACCAGCACAAGACAGAAGAGTTCAGGGAGAACAGTCCCCCCGAGGAGAAGGATCAGCCTGTGAAGACATTAAGGGGAGAGGAAGACCTTCCCTCAACCAAATTCCTTTGTGCACATGGAAAGAAAGTGGATGGTGAGGGATGAGGAGAAACATCGAACACCGTCACTTCCAACAGGCACCACCATCCCCCTTCTCCAGTACCCTGGAGGAACTGGGTAATGATGTCACAGCGCCTCGGCCAACCACCGAGCTTTTCCTTGTCTTCAGGAAGGCTTGAATCTCAGGGGCCCACAGTCACTTCAGCATTGGCAACCATTCAGCCTTAGGCACTAGCCTATATGCCACATGGCTCTCGAGACGCAAATGCTCGTAGGGATTACTCACCAAGCCTCTTCTCTGGAATGTCTCTAAGGCTGAAGAAAGCAGGGCTTGCCTGTTAGAAGGGACATACTGTGCTGAGTAAGAGTCTCCTAAAAAGTGATAATGTGTCTATCTTAATGGTCAACCGCAGGTTTGCTCAAAGCCCAGGGAAGTCTCACAGATGGTACAAAGAAAACAAGGGTCATGAGGAACCTGAAAAGGAACAAAACCCCCATTCTGCAAGCTCCCACAAAAAGCCTCACTGGCCACACTCACTTGAAAGGCTTTTTCTCTTTGTCTTCCCTTTGAAGAGAAAAATACAGACACTAACAAGCAAAAAATAAAAGCAGCTGCATCTACCCCCCATGTGGGAGTTCTCTCTTTGGTCTGCAGCCGGAATACCAAACACCAGCTACCCACTCAACTGTTTTAACGACAGAAATTGACTTTGGTGAGGAGTCTCTCATTTAAATGATCTCCTCCAAACCTCCTCCCGGCAAAAACGAAAACGGAGGCTGCCACTCCGTGTAAGCTCTAGGTGGTGTTCTAGCTTCCCATAATATCAAAGCAGGTCTCCTGAGCCACTGGAGATTGTAAGAACAAGCCCATGCTAAGAATAACAGGATTCTTCTAAATGCAAGGCCGAGGCTGAAGGGATGGCAGGTGCAAGAGACAGGTGTCCAGTGCCTTGGGTGAGGTATCCTTCATACAGCCACCACACACACACTCTTCTTACCTCCCGCAGCTCCAGCCTCTGAGCCACGGCCTCCAGGCACTCCTGCCCAGTGCTCTCCACAGACAGCGTGCACTCGATGACATTGCTGTCCAGCAGGCGGATCCGGGTCACAAAGCAGTTCTTGCTCAGGACATTGTAGCGCCGTGTCCGGCGGAGTTTCAGGCCGAAAGGCATGGCTCTGTGGCCCTTGGACGCCGCCCTCAGGTGCTGGCGCCCACGCCCCTGAGATGGCCTTAGCAGTTTCGGGACTGGGCGATGGCACTACCAGCCGTGCTCCTCCAGTCACAGAAAAAGGTGGCCATGCCCAGTGTGGGACTCTGCAGAAGTGCTGCAAACAAACAGAAAAGAAGCAGCAAGGTCAGGAACTGGAAGGGAAGCCGGAGGTGGGAAGGCCCGTTTTCCACACACAGGCGCCACCCCCTCCCCCCAACAGATGAGCACGCAGAACCGTAAGACATTTGGGAGAGCCCATGTATTTCATCTGATCTTACAAGGGTGATATGATAACATCTACTTGACAGCTGAAGAAACAGAGATTCTGAGAGATTAAAAGAACTCATCTGAGGACGCAGACTACATGGCCTAGAATTCAAACCAATGTCTGCACAACTTCAATTCACATGCTTTTTTCACTGCTCAAGAAAGCAACAGGAGTGGAATTTGAATAGCGTTTTTTTAACTTCTGAATATGTATATTATCTCATTTCAACCTCATTAACAACCCTATGGTGTAGATTGTATCCCTGCTTTACAGAGGAAAAAAGCGAGGTTCAATGGTTTAAATGACTCCCTAATCCTAAAGTTAAAATTGTATCTTGTTCCTCCTCTCTCTTTGTAACACTGCCTCTTTACTTTTATTACCATTATTTGCCTTTATTTTGATTTTAACATTTTACTTAATTACTTTTTTATTTTATTTTATTTTTAGCTGAGCCATCGTGCCACCTGTTGGCAGCTCAGCTCGGGCCGGGCATTGAACCGCTGTTGCTCAGAGCTCACACTCTTGAGCGAGCTCTTAACCAACTGAGCCACTCGGCCGGTCCTTATTTTATTACCTATTTTCTTGTTTAGTTTATTTGCTTAGAGTGGATGGTAGAAGACGGAGGAAAATACACATTTAATATAGTCGGCAACTTTCTACTTTTTAAAAACATTTTTAAATGTATGAATTCTTTAATGCACTTAATATTACCACTTCCTTTTTTTAACCAAATATTTAGACAGTTAGATGTGGGGAACCACCCTACCATCATTTTGTTCTGTTATAAAATGCTTGATGCAAAAGCCCTGTCACCAAATTACAGATAATTTAACTTACTAATAACGAGACTTACTGACACCCTGATGTCCCACCAAATGCCAGAGATGACATTATTGCCATGGAGAACACAACAATAAAATAACAACCACAAAAGTGCCATTACCATTCCACCCCTGAGCCAGCAATGTTCTCACCAGGAAGCTCCTGTCTTCCAAAGAAGGCAGAAATGCCCAGACAGCCTCTCTGTTCAACTTTCCATCTCCATCAAGCTCGGAGGGCCATCGCTTGCCCATATGACTGCTGTTAACAGCCAGTTGTCACACCCTTTATCTACTGAATTACCTCTGAGCACCCCCCACCCCACCCCCACCCTGACTTGGCTGCATGAATATGAAAAACTACTTGCAGGAAATTCAAATTAATAAATAAAATGGCTTCCCTACTGAGCAACCATTCCGTGTCAGCATGCCATGCCTCACACACAGGTTGTCAGGGCACAACCCTACAACACAGCAAAACACACTCCCCACACTCCCTCGGCCAGTCTTTGGTGCCTGCCTTCGGCACATTCCTCAGCATGACAGATATGTTTTATAATGGCTTAAAATACACATGCTAGTAGAGACATTGGCTTGGTAAAATATATTAACATTTCTAAATCACTTTATGTTGGCAGAGGATCATGTTTACCTCCAAGGTAGGCCGACCTGATGATCTCCTGATATCTCCTGAAAGGAATATGGAGGGACCCACCCAAAAAAAAAAAAAAAAGAAAAAAAGGGAGCCAGAATTCAAATACAGAGCCCTTAAGAGTTTACTCCGCACGCATTCCCTCAACTTGTTGAAACACAGGGCCCAAAACATCAAGATTCAATTCCTATATTAGCCAGGGCGCCTCAAACAGAGAAAAATATTTGCTCTGTGGGGACAAGCCACATTTCCAATCCTGGGCCAGGCACTTTACATTTGGGTGTGTCTCCTCTTAAACACCTATGAAGGAATGTAGCTGGCTTGGTACACATTTATCCAAGCCACTATTGAAAACAACCCTGCTATATACTCTACAGGGCACCGTCCATAATTCACAGTTAGTGAAATAAACAGTAAGCTGCCCACCAACGTGTATCAATCATCACCGTTTTTATAATAAATAAACAAAGACACACGCACAAATGGGAAAGAACGTAAGCTCACAGTTAAACTGATTAATTATCTCAGGGCTGTATAGCGGTGATATTCAATAGAGTTCTCACTTTGTATTTTACAGATGTCTGAATTGTTCTAACCTTTGACAACTGCCTTACATTATTTTTGCAAAGAAAGATTCGATTAAAGTACATCAGCTACTGAAAAAGGTAGATTGGGGGCAACATCTGACAACCTGGCCACATAGCTTCTACAAAATACCCGACTAGTTCAAATTTTTATAAATGTTTCAAATCCTCAATTTGCAAGAAACTTCCCTGGTAAGGTATCAACAAAAAAAGTTATAAGAAAACTGGTCTGGTCCTTCTCAAGGTCAATGTTATGAAACAAGAATTGAACATGTGGGACTAGAGGTAGACTGGCCCAGAGTAAGATTTAGGAGTTATAAAAACAAAATGCCACGTGTGACCCTTCATCAAACCCAGGTTTGAAAAAAAATGGCTGTAAAAGATATGGACAATTAGGGAAATTTGAAATAGAAAATAGAGATTAGATGATATTAATGTATCATTATTGTTAATGCCTTTTGTTTTGGCTCGTGGAATTGTGGTTATGTGGGAGAATGGCTTTAGGAGGTGCCAGTGGTTATACTTAGGGGTGAAAATGTCATGCTGCCTGTAACTTACTTACAAACGACTGAAAAGTAACACATTCATACACACAAGCACATACACAAATTCAGAGTTGAAACAAGTATGACAAAACATTAACTGTTGTTAAATCTGGATGGTTGGTATACAGATATTCACTGCACTGTTCTTTTAGCTTTTCTATATACCTAAAAATGTTCATAATCAAAAGGTTAAAAAAAAAAAAAGGCAACCCTCTAAGCAGGTACTAAATAGGCTGTAAACATACCTACTCCTTATAGCTCCTTTTAAATGTTGCTGCCTCTTTCAATGGACTTCTCTGATCATTTTCTTGGTCCGAACTCCCAAGCATATGTGCTTATTTTAATACCTCAATCTAACTTATGTTTGAAGTATCAGCACATTTTTTTGGACTCTAAACTCCTCCATCTTTAAAACACACATAATTTACCTAAATTAAAAAGCTCACGGCATTTATACCCAGAACTTGTGTGGTCATAGAGCGGTGCTTCTGGAAAGAACTTCCAGGCACTCATTTAAGACATTCCTTAATGTCTTAAGGAAGGGCTACTACACCTAAATTATCCCAGGTAAACAATCTGTTTGACACTAACCTGTAACAACTGGGTTAGAGAAGATGATCCCTTAGTCCCTTTCAGTTTCAACATTTTAAGTCTATGAATTATCGGCCATGTTTAAGCTCTTGCAGAATCCAGGGCATGAGTGTCACTAATTCACCTTCTAACCATCCACGGAGGCATTCAGTAGTTATACGTTAGACGTAACCCAGCTCCCTGCTGTATTTTAAGCCCAATCGCTCTGCTGTGCCCTTGACAAGAAAGAGAGCAAGGATAATGATATCCTACCATGTGATAGAATTGATTGAGGTCTATCAGATGTCCTTTGTTCAACAGCCTGGCTCCTGGGACCTTTCTGATTTCCCAGTGTGCTTCTCTGGGGGCTCATCATATTTATTTTATCCCATGAACATTATAAAACCTAGAACTCAATGCCATCTTCTCAAGATTTTCCTGATGAAATTCACTTTTCAAAAGAGACCAAAAGAAGCAGTCATCATCCTATTTACAATAAGGTGAATTGTTGTTTTTTTTAATGGAAAGCTCCTTTAAAAATAAAAAGTCACTTAAAATACAGACTTTTATTTACCTCCTCTTCAAGAACGTATCCAGTAAGTAATACCAAGCTGCAACTGTGGCTAATACCCATTCATGGAAGTTAAAACAAGTCCTTTATGGTTAATGTAGATGGTAAAACTAACAGTAATGACTCTTGAGTTTTTTTTAAAGACAGTAATTTATTCTCATTTCAAAATATAATCTATTGATCCTCTTAGGTGCATCATAGAAAGAAAAGTAGCATTGGGTAAGGGAGTTGGACCCCAGCCCTTTAGTATTAAGATAATAATTTGGGAATAAGAAGCCAAGGGGAAGAAAATGACAGGGTAAGTGTCACAAACAGTCTGAACTCCCTAGCTCCAGGGTCTTTGACTCAGCAAAGCAAATATTAAGTGAATGTTAAAGACTGCACTGAGGAAAGACGCCCATTTGACCGGAGGAGGGAGAACTGTAGCTGACCTAAGCGGTTCTCTCTAAGAACCAAAGTTTACTCTTCGAAGAACACGGGCAGGCCTTCAAGCAAGACCTGGCTTTAAAGGGTTCACCAGAGGCCTGGGGGTGACTGTTAGCTTATTCATCCTCTCTCAGCCTCAGTTTACTCAGCTGTAAAGATAATATCTCCCCTACCTGTCCGTGAGAGGTAAATGAGAAAATGTTTCAGTGGGGCACTCAGTAAGGGTGGACACCACCCCTTCCTGTCCCCCTTCAGAGTGAGTTTGTGAAAAGGAGGATGTCAGTACCTTACCACCTACTGTGGAGCAAGTCTTTAAAAAAGAAAAACACAGCCGGCAGAGCAAAGAGGAGAGTTTAACATGAAGCTATGACTATTCCATGGGGAAAACTTGAACGAGTGTGAAAATGAACCACGCGTCCTCCCAGCACTACCACCTTGTAATCCCCCAAACTCTGACCTGGAGCAGAAAGGAGCCATTCATGGGCCGACATGTCCCATTCTGAGCCCATTCTGGGTGGATAAGAAAGCTGTTAGCCTTCATATCTCAGTTGGTAACGTGTATAGTGTCTGGGGTTGGCAACGGTTCTTTTTTGGTAGTGGAAAATTGGTTCCACATTGCCTTTGGTCTTAAAACCTGTATGACTGTTTCTACAGCTGATGGCACATCAGTCTCCCTTGTAC